CAAGTGTGTTGAAAGATGACATAATGAACCTGTTGTGAACCCAAAACACACTTTAGCAGGAAAAACAAGGGAAACGAACACATCTAACCCTGTGGGTATTAAATCTACTGATGTCCAGAAAAGGGCTCCGGGAAAAGAGGACATTAGCAACGTAGTGACACAAGGAGCTTGGATATATAAAACACAGACAGACAAGGAAAAACAGAGCTGGCAAGGGGTTTGCTTGCATGACACATTACAAAGCAGCTCTTGGAAGCAACAGAAGGAGGTTTAAAAGCAACCTAAGACTGGCTGGAACCAGTCTTTTGCGTGTTCCAAGGAAAGTGATGAAAAGATAGCTGTAGAAGCCGAAACAGCAGCCTGTAAATAGAGTCTGACATTTGAGGATAGGAAAAACTAAACCACAAAGTGTTCTTTTTCTTTGCTCTCAACACAGAATGTCCATGATCATGATTAATGGAGGGATCTTCTCCTACTCTCCATCCAAGTAAGGCAGAAGACACCTGCTGGGGTCTTCTAATCACTTTCAGTTCTGACACTGTTTACTTAGTGATGGCATCAGATCCCTCAGGTGGATGGTTGGGACTCCCCAAACTGTCCCTTCCAAAGCATGCTTGGTTGGTTTTTGTCAACTTGACACCAACACAGACATATCTGGGAAGAGAAAAATCTTTAATTTAAAAAAAAAATGCCTCTTTAACATTGGCCTGTCAGCAAGTCTATAGGGTATATTCTTGATTAACAATGGCTGTGGGAGGGCCCAGCTCCTCAGAGGCACAACCACCACTGGGCAGGTGGTCCTGGGTTGTGTAAAAAAGAAGATTAAGCAAGCCAGTAATCAGCTCCCTTCCAAGGCCCCTGCTTCAGTTCCGGTTCCTGATTGCTGCCTTGATTTCCTGCCCTGACATCCCTTCATTAATGAACTGTATGCTGTCGACTGAAACAAACCCTTTCCTCCCCAAGTTGCTTTTGGTCATGATGTTTATCACAACAATAGAAAAGTCACTAAGACAAAGACAACCATCAACCCTAGGCTGTGACCTCTGCCTCCCATCAACTAGCTGTAAGCCAAGATTCTCAACATCTCCCTCCTAAACTTGTTTAACTTTTGCTGGAGCAATTCACAGAACTTGGGAAAATTGTGTGTGTGTGTGTGTGTGTGTGTGTGTGTGTGTGTGTCCACCTATTAGAAAGGTTGCTTTAATGGATGTAAAGGAACACTGAAGTCAGAAAGATGCATGGACAAGCCATGAGGGAGGTTCCTGGTGATTCTATCCTCTCTCTTAGGGAGACACCTCTTGTTTAGCTTTCTGGAGCCTCTGCAAAGCCAGTCCTTCAGGGATTTTGCAACTGCTTCATTTCACAGGGGTAACTGAATAAATCATCTGCAGCTGGGGATCAACTCATAGCCCAAGCTCCATTCTTCCCCAGAGGTTGGTGGGTGAGACAAAAAAATCCCAAATCTTTAACATATTGTTTTCTTTGGTGAACAAGTCCCCTCTTGGCTACTAGGGAACCCCATATACTAGGCATCCCACTAGCAAACAAAAGACACCTTTTCCCTCCCAAGATTCCAAGGATTTTAGAAACTACATAACAGCGAATGAGGACAAAGAGTGGGTGTCTATTTTACAAAACCACAAGTATGTTTAAGAGAAACATGACAGAACTTAGGACACAGAGGGAGGAGAAAGATTGCCCTAAGTTCAAGGCCAGCCTGGCTTTTACTGTGAAACTCAGTCTCAGAAAAGTTCTTTTTAAAAAGGAAGGAGAGAAGAAGAGAAAGGAAGGAAAGGAAGGAAGAAGGAAGAAAGGGAAGGAGGGAGGGAAGCAGGGAGGGAGGGAAGGAGGGAGGGAGGGAGGGAGGGAGGGAGGGAGGGAGAGAGGGGAAAAGAAAATGAAGAAAAGAAATCCACATTTGACAGTTAATTCATTTGAAGGAGAATGATATTGGAGAAAAATCAGATAATAGAAGTCAGTATAATAGGATAACTGTGGGTTTTCATAAAAGATAAGAATGACAGGGTCTGATAAATATTAGGACTGATTCAGGGTTGAGAGATAGAGAGATCTTGTCTCTGCTGATCTACATTTAGTCATGACATTAATCTCTGAAAAGAAATCTCTTTGTTTAATGAGCTTGTTTTAAAAAAAAATCACAGAATCTTGATTTCTAGCTGTGTTGGTTAGGGTTTCTGTTGTAAAGAGACGCCATGGCCATGGCAACTCTTATAAAAGAAAGCATTTAACTGGGGCTGACTTACAGGTTCAGAGACTTTGTCCTTTATTGTCCTGTCCGGGAGCATGGAGGCACACGGGCAGACATGGTGCTGGAGAAGCTGAGAGTCCACACCACGATTCACAGGCAATAGGAAGTGACTCTGAGCCTGGCTTGGCTCTCTGAAACCTCAAAGCCCACCCGCAGTGAAACACTTCCTCCAAGAAACCACACCTTCTAATTTTTTCAAATAGTGCCACTCCTTAAGCGTTTAAATACATGAACCTATGGGGATCGTTGTTATTCAAACTCCTACATCAGCTATCCCAACTAGCCATCTACCTTTTGAGTTTCCTCACCAACATCCCAACCAACTGCATATCTCGCTTTGCCTTACCATCTCCAGGATAAGATACTCACTACTCACACATATGCCACACTCAGCACACTTTTTGTGAGAAAATTCTGTTTGCTACACTGAAATAGACTTCCAAAGTTTCTTCCCATTGGGCCATTTCTAACTCCTTTAGATTTTCAGGCTAATGCCTTCCTAGTCTCCTGAGTTCTGTGCACTTTCATTACTGATATTGCACAAATGTTTACACAGACATGTCCCTTTTATTTTCAGAGTGATGCCAAAGGTCTTCCGCTAAACTCTGGGGTTCTGAAACAAGCACACAGCTTCATATTATGGTTCAGGTAGGAAATGGTCCCCAGAGCTCATGTGTTAACAGCTTGTTTCCCAATGCAGCAACATCCACAGGGCTGCTTCCTAGAGATGTCTGGATCAGGAGGACTCTGACCCTGTCTGTGGACTAACACATTAACAGGTTTTCTGCCCCTCACCCTACCCCACCTCATCCCCAAAATAATACATTTCTCTGCCGATGCAATAAACCCGATCAAGCAGAATTAAATTATAACAGGTATATTTGAACAATGCAACTCTGGGACAAGTCCTCAAGTCCCAGAGACAGGGGCCAGAGGAGTTGCAACCCCAAACAAAAGCAGGGGTATTTTATGGGTTATAGGTGAGGGGTGATGATATGTCTGCCACAAGCTGGGTTTGAGCCCAAGTATGGTCAAAAACTGAAAGCTCAGGTGGGACTTGGGCAACAGGCAAATTCAGGGAAGGAAGTTGCAGAACTAGGCTTTTTTTTTTTTTTGCACCTTTCCTTTGTTTGGTGACTCTCTGAGCAGGCAGGGTTGGGAGGGGAGGAAAGGGGGCATCCCTGATCATGCAGGGGTGAGCTGGATGTTCCAACCGAACACCCATGTGTGGATTCTTAAGTAGATGAAATTACAGCAAGGTGCTAGAGAGTAAGATGGGTCTAGTTGTTCTCATTCTTTCTCTCCCTCTCTCTCCCCTTTCCTCCCTCTCTCTCCCCTTTCCTCCCTCCCTCTCCCTCTCTCCCTCCCTCCTCCCTCCCTCTCTCTCTCTCTCTCTCTCTCTCTCTCTCTCACACACACACACACACACATTTTTTCACACATGTTTACAAAACAGTACATTTCCATATGGCCTTTTCAAACATCCTCAGCTCTAGTTAGCTCTTCTCCCCACCCTGCCTCACTCCCCTCCCCCACATTCCTCTCACCACTCACTTCTCAGTTACCAGTCAGAGCAATACCCACAAGTCACCGCAGCATGCACCTCTGTGGGCTCTAATGAAGAGACAAAGCTCAATGATGACCAGCATGCTTCTGGGAGATCAATGTGAACAATCAGAGAGTTAAAATCTATGGAGAGACAGTCACAGAGGGACCCCCCCTCAAGCTTTTTCAGAGATTTATTTCTATGAACTCTACCAGGTAATGACAATGAATATCAGACAGAGGTTCTGCTTTTACTGCTTCTGCCATGGAAATGAGGAAATTAAACTGTAATTATCATCATCATAATCATGATAACGACGGTAATTTGTGTGTGTGTGTGTGTGTGTGTGTGTTTCTGTGTGTGTGTAAGAGAGAGAGAGAGAGTTGGCATACATGTGTATGTGCATGTCAGAGGACAACCTCAGGTATCATCAGTGTTCAGGAATATCACCAACCACGGGCTCTCCCACTGGCCTGGAGTTTACCGCTTAGCTAGGATGGCTAGCCAGCAAGCCTGGGCCTCCGTCCTTCTTCCCCTTCCTCAGCTCAGGGATTACAGGTATACAGCACCACATCCAGCATTTTCTCTTGGGTTCTGGGGAACTTTACTGACTGAGCCATCTGGTCAGCCTGAAAACCGGTTTTAAAACACACCAGAGTGCTCTGATCTTCACAGATGGTGGGGAAGGGGCCCAACTCCAGGTCCTCTTGCCATTGTGTCCCACAGAAAGGTGAGAGTGTTCTCTTGGGCTGAACTGGAAAATAGATAAAGTTCAAATTCTGGTGTCTAGGTCCTGCATAAGAGCAACACCTAATCTTAGGACAATAATACACCTCCCTTCTCCCACAAATCACCACCACATGGCCAGGGAGCTACTTGCCTGATGGGGGATGTACATCTGTATACATGTTTCTCTTATTGGTTGATGAATAAAACACTGATTGGCCAGCAGCCAGGAAGTATAGGCAGGGCTGCCAGACCAGGAGAATTGTGGGGAGAGGATCAGAGAGAAGCCACCAAGGAGATGCCATGCAGCTATTGGGAAGATAGGATGCTGGACATTCTCTGCTAAGATAAGACCATGTAAAAATACATAGATTAGTAGTAATGGGTTAATAATTAAGAGAGAGCTAGCCAGTAAGAAGCCTGAGCCATTGGCCAAACAATTTATACTTATATAAGTCTCTGTGTGTTTATTTGGGGCTAAACAGATGTAGGATCAAGCTGGAAAGAAACTCCTTCTTCACTTGCCGTGGCTCTTATCCTTTCTTCAACAAAAAAGGAAAACGGAAGCAGAGAAAAACCCCTGGAAGAGAATGGACACATATGAGAAGCAATCAGACATGGATGGAATGTTGGGTCAAACAAAACATTCTAAAGCAGTAATTGACATGCCGAGGGTTCAAACGGAAACACAGACAACATGAAAACACAGATGGATAATAGGCAGGATGGTGAGGATCCTAAGGACAAACTCCAAACAGAAATGTTCGAGACCTACAGCCCACGACGGGGATAAGGCATGCTTCATTGTGGACTGCCTAACCAAGGGAGAAATCCCTGAACCCCAAGAGATGGCAGCACTAGCCTCCGGAACTGACAGGAAGGGAAGAGAAGGAAAACACACACATACCCACCTGTTGCTGGATAGCTTCTAGTGGGGACTGACACGTGTAACAATGGTGCCAGGAAGAGGGTAGGAAGTACAATACCGGACAGGTGACTCTCTCCCAGCCAGAGATCACAGACACTCTGAGAATAAGCACAAAGATATCAAGTCTAGTTTTATATCAAAGTCAAAGAACAGTAAAAGGACCAGTGTCAGTGGAGACAAGGTGCATTTATTTCTCTCATAAAAATACAAATTTTGCATCCTTTCCATGTGATCTTGGAACTGTGTCATCAAGGAAATTTCTTTGAAATACCATTTCTCGGTGTTGTATTTGGTATGGACTTAAGGAAAGGACAAAAGTCACATTTTCCTCAGGAAGATGGGGATAATGAAAACTGAAACAACAATTAACAGTGTTTACTTCAGAACTCAAGTATAGGAACTATCAAGGGGAGGGAGAGGAGAGGGGGAGGGGAAGGCGGCACTCCTCCTGATTTTATCTGTAGATATCATTTTGAATTTCAAGTTCTGACAGTCCCTGTTGAATTTTTCAAATTATGGTCATAATAAGCTATGTTCCCAAATGGCTATGTTATCAGCTATGTAAAATCAGAGGCATAATTTCAGAAACGGAGGTAAGTGAGGCACTTTGTTTCATTTACATTGACAGAACAATGCTAGTAGTGCAAAATACAGTCCTATGCTTGCCTCATAATTGTGCAAATCAATAATACATGAGCACACGGGGGTTCTTTTAATGATTTGAAATTTATTATAAAATTGTACATACTTTGAGATTCTTTTCAAATTAAGACATCTTTTATATGTGAGAATCAGATGTTTTAACACAACTACAAATTAGTCTTAAAATCTGGTTGCTGAAACAGAATTCATTAAAACTGATTTGAAATGTTTGAAAGCCTTCAACTATTAGTTTTCAAAAGTGCATGGTAAGTTTGACTAGAGTTAACTCTATCGTACAGGAATTGGGAAATGGAAACTACAAGCCAGCTCGGCTCAGCCACGCCTCAAAGCCAATCAGTGCTTTTAACCTTTTTATCTTCAGTTATGATTATTTTCCACCTAGCATCCCCATTCTACCTAGTGACCAGAGTTTCATCTTTATGAATGCAGAAGAAAACCGCTTTTCTCTACCGATTTATACTTCTCCTGAATCAGCTTGTATTTCTTCGGCAGCCACAATCCCGCACACACATTTGAGACAGATTTTAAGAAAGGCTTTATTTTTACATGCTCATCTGAGTCCTTAGAATGTACTTATGCCTGTCACCCCATACAGAAAACATCTGGTTTATCACACAAATCCCATGCTTCTTCTAGGCGGCCACATCTTTCCAGGCAACTGCATCCCTCCTTGGAGCATGGGCTTTCAGATGGGCTTCAGTGGAGTCCCAGTGATCTGAGTGGTGGTACCCTGGGGTTAAGCCCTATAACATTAACACAGAGTTCTTAGTGTGACTTCCTTGGTTGACATTGATTTCTCCATCAAGAAAGGTTCAGGAATGAGTTCAAAACTGGCTGCATTAACCCTGAAAGTGTTGGCTGACAAGTTTCAGCCCTGGATGCACTATGGGATGTTTTCCAGTTGGCACATTGTACCTTATATACTCATGGGGTTCTCGTGGCATGAATCCAGAAGACATGGTAATTTTCTTCTGCCTCAGGAAACAGGCCTTCTGGTGTTGAACAGCATCTAAACATCTAAACTCCTTACTCAAGGATCCTCATTGTCATCTATGTCAATTCCATGCTCCCCCCACCCCCAATCTTTATCACCCTATGGTAAGGGCAAATTCCTTGAAATTAGGCACTTTGCCCATGGAGACTGTCATGCAAAACTCTTAGCCAGAGACTGCCAGGTCATGGATTCTGAAACCACATCCAAAAGGCACTGAGAATTCTCTGTGGTTCTTTAGTCTCTAGTGTGAACTTAAAATTACATTGAATAATTTAAAAACTTATAGATAACTTGAAATAGTCCAGAAGCATAATTTATATACTTTTCATATTTTAACTTTGAAGCATTTTAATACGATCCACTTGGTTATAAAATAAACTTGTCATTTAATAACCATAAATTATATAGATAATTTCCTCTGCATTATCAATAAATTTAACTTCAGTATAATGTTTTATGTACTTGATTAGAGAAACTGGGGTATTGTTAAATTGTTTTAAAGTCTATTTTCTGATTCCTTTTTAGCATAAGCACTTCAATAGTAGTCAAAAATTCTTTTTTTTCTCATGCGAATAGAATTTTAACTATAGGAATTGGGTTTATACCAAGGGTTAAAAAAAGTCCCTCCTGTATCCATATTTAAGACAATGTTCTTAGAATTTTCTGATTACTACATAATTAAACTTGCACCCTTACTGATAACTTTGTTTCACCTATATTATTATTTCTTTAAAAAATTTTTCAGTTAATTTCAGCCAAACTAACTTCCATGGGCAAGTCTGAGCCTGCTTTTCCAGATTAACAGAGTACAAGTTAAAATTTTGTCTCACAGTATAAAACTATCTTTACTCGTCAGTTTTCTAACATGTTCATCCTAGGGCAACCTTTAATAACTTGAGCTCCCGCTCCTCAAAGAGCTCTTCAACTAAATGGCTCCCCTCACATTTCTCAAAGTACTCTTCAGTTAAACTGCTCTCATCTCAAAACAAAAAAAAAAAACCAGTGCATAAGTATGTTATAAAAAAATTAAATAACTATCGTCTATAGATAATTCCTGTCTGGAAAGCAACATTGATGGGAGTAATAAGGAACATGCAACCATAACTAATGCATTAGTATCTAAGAAAGTAATAAATGGTTTATCCTAAAACTCTGCAGTATCTGAATAAAGATATCTATGTATACAGGAGACTTTTAAAATATGATCTTGTAGCTTTATTCCAAAAGTAAAACTCTGCCACATATATTATGTATATTCATATATTCAATCAAGAAATAAATAAAATCTCGATATCATAAAGCAAGTAAAAATTAATTTGGCCTATGTCAATATTAGTAGAGCACATAAAGATAATGTGAGGATGAGGATGCAGGTGAAATCTCGGATTAATGAAGAGTCTGATGTAAGTTGGTGTGACCCTGGCACGCAGAAGAGACAGAACAGAAAACCCATAAATATACCCTTTAACATGCAGTCAGGTTTTTTTTTTCATGGAGAAGCCAGACCATTCAGTGGGGAAATGACCATCTATACAACCATAGTGTTGGATAAACTGGATATTCATGTGCCAGCCTTCCCGAAAAAGATAGTAAAACAACTCAAAATGGAAACAACACATAAAACTGCAAAACCCAGAAGAAAATATCAGGTAATTTCTTGGATATGTCATCAATGGTACAGGTACTACAAAAGGAAAATAGTAGGTAAACTGGAAATCATGAAATAGTATCAGCCACTACTAATAGAGTGGGAAAAATACTTGCCAATAATTTTGTCTGATAAGAGACTTTCCAAGTTTGATTTCTGTTGATAAGATAAACAACGTGACCAAAGGTGACTAGGGGAAGAAATGGTTTGCTTGGTTACAGGATATAGGTCATAATGGAGGAAAGTCAGGACCGGAAGTCTAGTAGAAATGTAAGCAGGAGCTGAAGACAGACCGTGGAAGATCATGTAGCACTGCCCGTAATGGGCTATGCCCTCTCACACCAATCATTAATCAAGAAAATGTCCCTACAGATATGCTTACAAACCAGTCTGATAGGGGCAAATCCTTCATTAAGACTTTTTTCTTCACAAGTGACTCCAGTTTGCATCAAATTGACAAAAGCCATAGAACACAAGTATCATTATTACACCATGCCATTTTCTTTCTTATCTATTTCAAAATCTCATGTTAATATTGGTGCAACTTTTAAAGCCCCATAGTCTTTGCAAAATCCAGACACTTTGAAACTTCAAAGTCTTTTTTAAAATATCACAAATCTCTTAACTGTGGGTTTCTGCAATATCAAAACCAAGTGGAATATTTTCTTATTATAAAAGGGAAGAACCAGAGAAGGAGCAAAAAGAACATCCTACAACATAAATAAAATTCCATAATTAGAAAGTCCTACAATATAAATAAAATCTCGTAATTCAATATCCAGCATCCGGACCTCCATCATTATCATCTGGGCTCCACAGGGTTCGAATAGCTTCACTTCTTTGAGTCTGCTCTCTACAGGACACACAGCACACTACCTCCACTCTCTAGCTTATTCATTTCATGGTTCCTCCATCTCTGACATGCTGGAATCTCCATGACAACTGAGACTACCCTTAAGAGGCATTATCTTGGCCTCCTTAGGTACTAAGCCTTGACTTCTCTCCAATAGAAAACAGATTCTGTGTGATTACCCTGAGAAAAGTGTTCGCTGGAAGATTTTACCTCAGTGATGCTGGTCTCTTCTTAATCACAGCTGTGTTTTCAGCCCTAACTAAACAATGTAAACTCTCCCAGTCAAACAAAGATTTTACCGAATCTGTGGGGATTTCACATCATGTACCCTAATTCTGTTCACCTCCTGATCCCACCATGTTCCCCCCCTCATCCCTGTTGTATCCCCCCCCCAGGAAACAAAACAAAACAAAGTAAGCAGGCAACCAAATAAAAGCAACAACAACAACAACAATAAAACCAAAACAGAACAAAAATGACACCGAAACAGAAAAATTTCTGCTTCTCCTTCCCTCCTGCCTCTCCATTAGCTCTTCAACCATTATGGTGGCATTTGAGGCTTCCATGTGTCATGCAGTAAACCCATCAGCTTGATTGGCAACTGTTCATTGCAATGAATCATTGGTCTGGTTCAAGGCCTCTGGTTTTTGGTACCTCGCTGGATCTTCACCAGAGCTCTTCTGGGGTATCCTGTGTCTTGGCAATCTTTCAGGTATTGTTCCACAGGACCAGTCCTTTCATGAGCTCTTGCAGGACCTAGATAGGATAGATGCTAGGGTGGTTTTGCCTTATTGATCTTGTTAATCAAAGCTTATTCTTCAGTCCTAGATTACCAAAAACCACTGGTTCTTATGCTAATATGCTAATATTGTTGTCTTATGTATATAAATATTAAAATGCATGCATATAAGGTTTTCCGCTAAAATGTATTCTTAGTCAA